AAACCCTGGAGACCTCGCCGCTGACTACAGCCCAGATCAGATATGGTGAGAGATTAAAACTCACTCACTCTCTCTGTAATCCTCTATATTTTGGAAATAAATTGCGACCTGAAATCCTCCATCAGTGTTGCTATGTCAGCAGTTCTGGCTTCAGACAGTTTACTTTTTAATAAGTACTTTGAGTTGTTGATCCCTGGAAATCAAAGCCGTTTGTGTTACTGACCAGACTGTAATTAGCTTTATTGATTTTTATTTTTTATTTTTTTCTTCTTTTTCATGTCAATCATTCCATCAGCAGTTTGTTCTGTGAAGTCTGAACCTCAGTTCAATAACTGACCTCCCAGTCAGTTTAAAGCTGACGTTTTTTCCTCTTAAATAAATCACAAGAAGAAGAGTAATTTCCAATACTGTATTTATCCGCAGAGGGAAACTGTGGAGCACACCAAGGGTCATATAAAGCAAAAAAATGATATTGTAGAGATCCTTCCACCCCAGACTGCTAAACCGAGAGAACAGAGTAATAGACCGGACCCACAGATTAGTAAACTTGCACATGGATTGATAAACTACGGAAGCGTGACGGCATTCAGTTAATTAAGTTAATTGGGGCGTTATAATTCTCTTGTTTTTTTTGTTTTTTCTAAACGTTTTAAAGTAATGTAATGCAGCTTTTAATTGTCATACCGGACACAGGAAATAAAAGCACCGACTAAAATAGAGGAAATACTTTATTATCCCATAAGCTGTGTATAAAAGAAGATCAGAACAAGTGAGCCGCAGCATTGAACAAACCGTCTTTTCTTAGCCACACTCGCAGTGGATGTATGGCAGCACATTTAAACAACAAGGCAATTCAAAGTGCACCAAGATTCGAATAGGACTAACAGTGTGAAAAGTTCCTTTCACAAATAAGAAAAGAAGTAATTAAAATACATTTTGGTGTGTTTAATTTATTAATTTACTTGTCAAGTTGATGAATGTGCTCTGTGCAGGACAAAAAGACAAACTTTAATTTTAAATTTCAGATTATCTGTTCATCCTTCCAGTGTTGTTTATTTGCTTCTGTCTCTGTTTTTGATTGCAGTTTTGTTCCACAACGCCCTCCCCTTTGTTGGATTTGGTTTCCTTGATAATGCCATCATGATTGCAGCAGTAAGTGGATTTCGTTACGAAGTGACAAAGTTTAATTTGACTGGAATTACTTGTCCTCCTTTTGTGGTGACACTGAGTCTGGATGAACACCTCACCTTATTATTTTCTCTTCTCCAGGGAACACAGATTGAGCTCTCTATCGGAGTCACTCTGGGGATCTCCACCATGGCGGGTAAGAACATGTAGAGAAACACACCAGGCAGTCTTTTTGTTGGCTAATTCTCCATTCCATTTATAATTAATCGATTAGTTGATCAACAGGGAATTAAGTATCAACAGTCCTGATTGGATATAATTTAAAAAATTAACATACACAGGTTTCATCTTCTCTAATATAATGATACACATGTTGACTCTCAGCTTGTAGCAAATGTTCATTTAAAGATAGTGTTACCTTGAATTTAGCGAAGAGTTAACGGGTGGTGCTCCCGTAGATGGGATACCATATTGCCTACGCCATGTTTTTAACGGGGGAAAATGTTCGGGGGTTCGCCTACTTCGGCCATTCTGCACACAGGTCACAAATATCAAATTTCCATCACACTTGTTACTCTCTATGCTGCACACAACCTGCGGGATTCCTGCGCTTTGTTTGACGAGACAAACAAAAAAACTGCTCATACCGCAGCAACATGGTTTTCAAACCTTGACTTTTTCTCGGGATTACTTGAAACTGGTAACCAGCCCATGCCTTGATGGGACGTGTGTAACACCTGGATGAGAGCTTAATACGTCACTGCCCCCCTCAAAGGTTATTCCCCACTGTTTGTCATCATGACTCTTTGCCACTGGCATAATAAATCCAAAGCTCTGTGTGGAGCCGGATGTACTCACAGATGTGTTTTGTACTAAACACTATTGTTGGCAAAGGAGGGACGGGCAGTTCTTTCATTGCTGGTGATATTGAGTTTGACCGAGTGAGGGCGTGCGAGAGGAGTTGGAGCGTCCTCCTGCCTCTGATTAGTGGTTTTGAGCTGGGAGCGCTGGATTCTTGCCAATGGATTTAGGAGCTGTAGGTGGAGCCAGAGGTACCAGATTCTTTTAACAGATTATTTGTCTCATGTACTACTGTCAGGATATAGTGACAGTTTCAGCAAATATGACGTTATTTTTTATAAAAATTACCTACTGCTGCTTTAACACATTATTGTTGTTGTTGTTATTATTATTTCATTCATATTTCTGCAGCGCGAAACGCTGCAGTGACTACATCATATTTTAAAGCTTACTTTCTCTGGTTCCAGCCTCTTAAATGTAAGGAATTGCTGCCATTGTTTTTTATATTTGTAAACTGAATATCTTTTGGGTTTTGGAACTGTTGGTGTTGAGATGTCTTCTTGGACTGGAAATTTATATTGGGCATTTTCACCATTTGGTAACATTTTTATAGACTAAATGGTAAATCAAGATAATAATGGATAATGACACAGCTGTAGACTTATTACACCTGTATGTCAGTTAATTCCCCCCGAAATATTTATTTTAACCCAAAATGTTTTAGTTTGTGGACGGTGGTCGTTAATAAATTTTTTTTTTGGAATTGGCGCAATAAAAATCCCAACTAGCTAATTATATTATAACCGATTATTGAACCGCCTGCTGATAGTTGTGAAAATATCTGTTGTTTTACTAAAATATTACCTCCACAATTCATCGATCAAGGTAATTTTTTTGCAGTTCTGTATTTAAGATCAAACTTGATTTGTGGACAGAAATCCCATTTTTCTTGAGAAAAGAGTGATATGAGAGCAGTATACTCTCAGGAAGTAATCCTTTTTAAAATAGGGGAAACCCTTCAACCCACACAGCAGCAAATTTATTAGTTTCATAGTTTGGGCTTCACACCAGAAACAAACACCTTTTTCTATCCTTCGTCCAACAGGAGGTGTTGTGGACATCCTTTATAAAAGATTTATCACCACGCCATAAAGGTGTTATTGCTTTTATTCAGGCTGCCACTAAGTCCACGGTACATGTAGTGTCTGAAAGCGATGCCACCACTTCCATCATGAAAGACTTTTGTTACTTATAGCCATTAACGCCGCTAGTTGTTTACTGAAATAAAACTCGCAGCTCATCAGTTGTCCTCGTTGTTGTTGCAGTTCTTTGCAAAACAGCCCGTCTGTTGTCACGGCTGCCGTTCTGGGTCTCAGTTGTGGTCTTTCTTGCGCTGTGAAAACCATACAGGAGCTGGAGCTCGCCTTCCCTAGATTATTCTGTTTCCATGGATACTTGGCTTCAATTTCTTCTGCAAAGTGCAAATCAGAGGCTGGAGACGGGCTCTAGATCAGTGGTTCTGCTCTGGCGCGTTTATCCATCCAGGCGCTGCGTTATATTTGTTTCATCATCATTCATCCTCCAGGGATGCTCAGCTAGTTTGCTGATTCCATATATTTATTTTGAGTTTAAGGGGAGACCTTTCTCAGCGTTTATTGCTGACTCCTATTTCATCTCGCTGCACTTGACTGTCACACGCAATCAATATCAGAGCTGCTGCTGAAATGAGGCATGATTGTACCGCTGCCTTAGCTTAGCTGTGTTATGCTGTTTTATGAAGGAAGCTCAGAAGAAGATATCCATCTGGAGTTTTTGTTCCCGCGGGAAACACTGTGTATTCGGCTTCAAGCATCGCCGCTTTTAATGCCTCCAGAGATTCGCTGAAGGCAAAACAAACACATCTTAACACCTTTTTTAGAGTTTAAATCGCCGTGAACAAATCTTCTTTCTACCACATTGTCAGCAATCCCGTGTGAAAATCCATCCACAGCGTGAATTATTAATAGCTGCCAAGTATTGTTGATGGAGTACATTAACGGGAAATGTTATGAAGCTCCTTTTGCTGACAGTAAAACCATGAAGGCAGATGGAGAAAGAAGCTGAGTACTTGGTGGTTTTCCAAAGGGGCTCTGTAATCTGTTAAAAAAGAAAAACTTTCACACCTTCTCTCACTCCTACTGACTCTCATCTTTTATTTTGCTGCTTTGCTCTATTGTTTGGACTCCCCTCTCTTTTGAATATACAGAGAGGAATGTGGGCCACTTGGTACTGTGTGCAGTTTATATATTTTCACGGATTTGTTCTGGTTGTCATGTGTGGGTGAGCTTAAGTTTTTCACAAATGGGGCATGGTGGAGGGACGACACAGGCCCTGATGATGGGTTACAGCCTTAACACGAGCCACTTATTAGTCCCATTACGTTTTAATGGTCCAGCATGCAGAGGCAACAAGGTAGCCCAGGGATATTTATATCCTCCAGCTCTTCCTGGGGAATCCTGAGGCTTTCCAAAATGAGTAATACCACCATCTTGTTCTGGTTCTTCCTCGAGGTCCCCTTCCAGCTGGATGTTGCCTTGAAAACCTGTCAAGGGAGGCGTCCTTATCAGATGTCTGAACCACTTCACCGGGATCCTTTCACTGAGCTCATTTTGGGATGTCTAAGCTACTCAGAAGTGACAGTATGCTTGAAATGAACTAGTCTGAAGGCTCCAGTGTTTTTATGGTTGTGAAAAATGAGAGGCTGTCACAAAGAGGGGCGAGGTGTGATATGTTTAAATGGGTATAGCAGTGCGTTGTTGTGTACGCACGTACAGTGATGGAAGCAATTGCGTTAAAAATGAGCGCCTGAGCGAGACGTTTGAAGCTTTGCTGACTTTCTCATTTCAGCACACCTGCTCAATCGCTGCATGAATTAGGCGTGAAATGAATGCCAGAATTGTTGGTTTGGGAAAGTTACAGAAATTATTAGAGGCCAGCCCATTTCTGACTCTTGACTGTGAACTTAAATCTGTCCCAGATAAGAAATCAACATGCCAAGCTGCAGAGTTCCTTCAGGGGGTTTGGTCACAAAAATCCCAGAGGAACATTAAATTGATCGACAGAAGATGGTTGTAAAAGATAGTCTGTCTGTGATTCAGTTTGAATTAAACCTCAAGATTGTGATATGAGGACAATTTCAGGTTTACCAGAGATAGGAAGAGAGTTCCCTTAGGCCTCGAAGATCCCAGATAACTTTGAAATCTGATAATGAATGATGAAGTATTTTCTTTACCCTTGCCTTGGCTCTCTCAGGAAAGAGAAAGAGAGAGCTACAGTTTTAAAACCACATTATTTCACCCCAAAACATGGAACACTTAAAAGTCAGGAAACTCCTTCATTAAATGTGATGCTTTTTTTTCTCTGTGTGTGTGTGTGTGTGTGTGTGTGTGTGTTTCATCAGAGAACGGTAGAAATCAAAGTGTTTCCCTCTTTGTGTTTTTTGCAGCTGCGGCTCTGGGGAACCTGGTTTCAGACTTGGCAGGTCTCGGGTAAGCAGCTTCACAAACTGTTTGAGGATTCATTTTTATTTTGAGGCAGACTTGTGAAGCCTATTGAAGACGTTGCAGGTTAAAACAGCTCAAGGTGCAGCCTGCGTTTGCTGAGTTTTTAAATTAAAATCCTGAATTAATGACCTGAGGATTCTTCGTCTTTTTTTTTTCTCCTTGTAGTTTAAAAGGAAGTCATCAACTGCTTTTACTTTTCCTGTCTTATAGCCCCTATTATTTAATTCCCAGGCTTTTTCACATGAATTCAATTGTAGTATTTTGGTGTGAGTGTGTGTTTGAGTGCTTTGTCCTTCTATCTTCAGGAGAACCAGTTCATTTTACATCTTCAACCTGGAGACATTTTTGTTAATGATTAGTTTTTGATTAGGAAGGTTAGATGGAACAAAAACACATAAACACAGGAATATGTTTGCTTTATCTTTACGTCCTTGTGAGAACCAGTTGGAGTTTTAGACCTTTGGTGTGAGACACATTTTTTAAAAGTAATGTACTTTTTAGAATTAAGTTAAGGATTAGGATATCATTAAATTAAGAGATGGGATCGTTAAAAAATGTCCATATAAAGTGTGTGTGTGTGTGTGTGTGTGTGTGTAGTCTTGCAGGTTATGTGGAGGCTCTGGCTTCCAAACTGGGGATGCAGGTTCCAGATCTGACGCCCAAACAGGTGGACATGTGGCAGACCAGGCTCAGCTCTCACATGGTGAGGTTTTGATATTTATATTAATTATTTTGGTGTATTTTATGCGGTTTTAATTGTATAACCAACCGTAGCAAGATGACATATGGGAATGAAAATAAGGGATAAAATTTTATTTATGTGAAATATGTAATATCTCCAGTAGCAAGTTAACACCAAGCAGCATTCAGCAGTAGGGGGCGGGATGACACTGTAGGAAACTGGAGCAGGAAAGAAAGGCTTCTGTTGGTGGAGGAGGCACATCAGAGAAAATATATAAAAAAAAAAATGAGAATCCACAGAAGAGGCATGGAAAGAAATTGCCGACATCAGCTGTCTGCAAAAAAGTGGAAGATTTAATCTTATCTGGAGATAACAGCTTAAAAGGAAGCAGCAGCTGAAGAGCCAAAACTACACTTTTGTGAAATGTACGTTTTGCCTCAGAAATCATATATGGCTATATTTTTACCTTTATTCCAAAATATTTACCAGAAGGTGTGTGTCTCCTCTGTATGCCTGCCATGTGGGACCCTAACAGGCTACTATTTACCAACTTAACGGACTCCGGGCTCTCCTAATTTAAAGTATTTTTAAGTCCAAATGAAATATAATAAGTATGTTTTATTCCAGAGTTTGTGAGTAGAATAACAAGTGAAGGATTTTTACTTTCATCACAATAGTATGATTTCTTCTTCTCCTGCAGGGTAAAGCCATCGGGGTGTCCATCGGCTGTATTTTGGGGATGTTCCCGCTGTTTTTTCTGGGCGACGACGACGAGAAGGAGAAAGAAGCACAACCCTGCAGTGACAAAGAATCCCTTCTTCCTAACGAGCCACTACAGCTTCACAACAATCACACCTACAGACTGGATACTGCTGATGTCAACTTGAAAGTATTTACAGTTGGGTGTTTCTCTCTGTGCTCCTGCTCAGGCAACGTTCCTACTTCTTTTAGTCTCTAAAGCAGTTTGTGTTAACTTTACTGTCTTATAATGATATTTAGCTCCATCACAACTTTAGCACTTTTAAGCTTCTTTTGATGCACCTTCAGGACATACCGTCTGTTAGTTCCGTATATCGGTTTTAATGGGAGGTCTCACTCTTAAAATTTTGACGAGGGATGGGTGCTGTAGGGATCTTATCGTCATCGATTCTTCATATTAATCTTAACCTCTTTCTGGACTTCATTATTGACCTGTTTGATAGATTGTTGGTTATTTAAAGCTGAACAGCAGCTGCTTTGGCAACAACTGACAAGTAAGATTCTCTGAAGTAATTTGCTTTCGAGACATCATTATTAGGGGACATGTTTCCTGATGAGGGATGGTGTAATGATGACATTAGGTGGGTGGTGTAACAGTAGCACAAGTAGAGAAAAGTCATAAAGTGAGCACCGCAATATGTGTTTATTTATATGGATGCACTTTAAAGAGGTGGTATTATGCTAATTTTTAGGTTCAAAATCGTATGTAGGGCTTGTACCTGAACAGGTTTACGTGGTTTAATTTTCAAAAAACACAATATTTTTTTTCATACTGCACATTGCTGCAGCTCCTCTTTTCACCCTGTGTTGAAGGCTTCGTTTTAGCTATGGAGTGATACATCTTGTCTCTAAATGATCTTTGTTAGGAGTTGCACATGCGCAGCTCCTAGTTGAGGACTACTAGCCAATCAGAAGCAGAGAAGGGTGTGAGTGAGAAGCCCGTAAACAGCTTAGATTTAGCTGAAGGCTACATGTTGCCGACCTGCTTGGCAACATGGACTGGAGCGAGAGTGTCAGAGCGGTGAGTTATTAATCTGTAACAAAAGTATCTTTCATCCGTAAAGTTTTAACTGAGCTCTGTCTCTACATCACAGCAACAACTTTATGTCCACTGACTGCCTGGAGGGTAGATAGTGTTTGGAAGAGGGAGGAGAGCTGTGTGCTGCAGCTCACTGTTTTTCCACCAGCGTTTTTGAGGGCGTGTCGGAGTAGCGGCTTGGCGAGCGTTGTGAAGCGCATTTAGCTTTAATCCCTGTGATGTCACAGCTGGACTACAAATGAGCTGTTTTCAGGCTGTTCAGAGCAGAGTTTTCTGTGGGAGATGGGAACTCCCTTTGGGCTTTTTCACTTTCCAAACATATTACATGCACAAAAAGGTATATAACTCAATAAAGGAGAGGGGAAAAGCCAAAAAGCATCAAACCACCTCTTTAACACTGAGGTGCATCATGCTAAATGCGCTGGTGTTAACACAACAGCACATTTACCATCCACCTTTAAAACTGACAAATGGGTAAAAAAAAATCATTATGCATAGTAAAGCTGTAATGAAAATAAGAGAGACCACTTTCTCTAACAGTTTTAAACAAGCCGCAGTCAGACAAGTATAAAGTATAAGCTGTTCAGAACCGCAGTCACTTTTGATTTCCAGCGTGATCTGACGCATTCTGCTCCAGCTGAACCTAACTGGTGCTTTTGCCACTCTTATTTTCTAAATTTTGCAAATCTGGCTGCATGTTTTGATCATCTTTTCCAGTCCTGGGCATTGATAAGAAGAATCGATGGTGTTGACGCTAAACTCTTCTTGCACAGCACAAATGCCTGTTGTGAACGCTGCCTGAGTAACTCCCAGGATGGGAAGTGCTCACCTGTCTAAACACCAACAGCTGGGGTTTGGTTTCTCCCTCTTTCAAACATCAGCTTCAGCTGCTGATTGCAAACGGGTATTAGACATCCTCTTCTTTCCCACAGAGGAGGTGTGAGTCCAAAAATCCATTTGCTAAATTCACTTGTTAACCAGCCAAGTTCCAGGTGAGATAGGTGATTGTTTCCCATCCTGAGAATGAAAACACAAACTGTACATACTTGATCAACTGTTTAGGTAGTTGGAACACTATTTCACATGTTTGATAGATTGTCTGTCTTTTTTTTCTTTTCTTTTTCAAACTCAAGTTAATTGACAGAACTTCACATGGGTTTTATTTGGTTATTTTTCTTTGGCAGACACTTTATAAATTTGAAGACTTCATCCAAAACACTATTTGTTCATTTTGGGTTAAAAAACAACAAATGTTTCTCATTACTTCAGCAGAAACTGAGCAGACCTTTGAGAGGCACATACAAAGTCACTGCACTTGAGGTATTGACATTTAGGGTCTAGTGGATCGTTAAACTTTAACCAAAAAATACCCCCCAAAAAAACTATGTAAATACAAAGAAAAGAAACAGTGCCCACTGCTACCTCGATGGGAATAGTGTAGGTGTTTTGCATGAAGAACCGATGTAGCTCTGTAATCAGACTATTTATTTCCATATCGGATGTTTTTTTTAATATGCAGGAAGGCCTTTAATGAAGGAAGCACTCACTGGTAAGGAATTGCATTTTGGGATTTTCAGTTTCGGGCTTTACACTGATGTTTGCTTTCCAAGGTCTTTCCATATCTTTGTTTTTGTGTCTGCACCATCTTTTTCTTTTTTTTATTTCTTTTTTCTCACAGAGCCTTGACTTGGATCCCAGCCGTCTGTGTAATTAGTTTTTTAGCTTGAATTTCATCAGATTCGAAGCTCCAGATGGTCTGGATTTGCCACATACGAACATGCAGTCCAAAACCATTTACACCATGACAAGTATTATTCATTATCCAGCATATATTCAAGGTGCTTCTTGTAATTTATTTTGAATCCATTTGATCCTTTTCTCTGCTGCATCCGAAGTCACCCCCTATTTAGTAGTTCTAAATTAGTGCTGCAGCTACTATTTTCATTGTTAACTAATATGTGGATACACTTTATAGTTAATCAGTTGTTTCTCCTATAAAAACAAAAGGTAATCTGAATATTTCAACTTAGATAATGATAGAAAAGGGTAATTCTTCACATTTAAGAAACTGGAACTTGAGAATATTTTCCATGTTTGATTTTAAAAAGTTATTTTCCTGATTGATTAAACGTTTCAGTACTACATTTTACAACATAAGCCCCTTTTCCACTGCATGGTACCAGCTCGACTCGCCTCCACTCGCCTTTTTTTGGTTTTCCATTGTGGAAAGATTGTACCTTTTTTTTTTCATATCACGAGGTTCCAAGCGAGCTGAGGCGATATTAAAAAAACACAGTCAGCAGACTGCCGATTGGTCAGAGAGAATAATCACTGTGTCATCATTGCGCGCGCCGGACAGAAGCCAGCAACAGAACGTTTTATATTTTACAATTTTCGTACGTTATTTCTTCACTAAATCAACCTCGAGAAGTTTTGAGGTGAGAAATAAGCTGTGTAAATTCGAATATTGACAGTTTTACGAGAAGTGATGGCGGAACAGAAATGTGCTCACAGAGCCCTCTGTCCCGCCGTCACTCAGACCGCTGCAGCAACAACGGCAGAGGAAAACACAGCTGGAAGGTTTCATACCGCTTATCTGTCTTTACATTGTGAGAATGTTAAAACGTTTTAGGTTGTAGAGTCGAGGCTAGTTGAGCTGGCACTGGTAAAGGAAAAATGGCTATAGGGCTCTTAAAATTTCCCACAATGCAACGAAAAAATAGTTTTATGACTACACTACTACTCACCATAGAGTAGGGATGAACAATATTATTGGTTGAGAAGATTAACTTAAATTCTGATAATGGAGGTTTCATACGTAGCCTTTTTACATTTATACCTGAAACATGTTTTATCAGTAGGGAGACAAAGACTGCCGCTAATCAGCCTACATATATAAAGAATTAAATAAATTAAGGTTATGTTGTTGCACACAAGTTTACAATAATTAAATCTATCGTTTACTCGATGTACAATGAAAGTTCTCTGAACATTGATGTTGGGAAATAAACTGCTCAATATTAAAAGCTAGCTGCTTGTCCTCTTCACATCTCTGCAATTAAGAAGAGTTATATATCAGTTATTATCATATCAGCTCTGAAAGTCCACGTCAGTTAACTATAGCCATCATATAGCAACCAACAAACATGATCACTCCAGTAATCCTCTCCAGCAGATCCACAGATCAGATAATGTATGGAAGGATAATAGATGCCTTGAAAAGTTTAAAAACTCCCAGAACTTTATTTGCTGCAAAGGGGTGAAATGTTCATCTTTAGAGAGATGGGGACACTGAGCTGAGCTCTAAGCACAAATCGTAGCACATCCTCAAATCAAAAGGAATTGAAGGCTTCAGGAGGAGAAAAGGTTGTAAACAGACAAAACCTCCGAGTTCAGACTCACTGGTGACAGAAATGTTTGAATATTATTTAAGGAGTGTTTGGACTCAGCTGCAGAGATATTTGGGTTTATTTGACTATCTCTAAAAACCTCAAAGGAATTTTTTTTTTTCTCATAGAGAAGAGAGATTTTTATGTTAATTAGAATGAGAACAATGGGCAATATGTGGTCAATTTATTAAGAACTAATTAAGTAATAAATGATGTTTTAAGGATGCTGTTTGTTACTGTGGACAACCTGGACTTGTTTTTGTATCATCTCATTTTTTACATCATGTTTTGTGTGTTATTTTTAAAGAGGATGAAGGTTTTCTTCATGGCTGTGTAGTGAGCAGATATTTTTGTTTTTATTTCTCTCTACCCTTTGATATTTTGCAAATTTTTTTTTCACAAGAAGAAAGGTCTTGAAGCATCTAAACAAAAGTACGTAATCTCATTAAGTCTCAGTTAAAGGAATGCTGTGTTGTGCTGCCATCTTGTGGACAATCCTAAACAGCAGCAGCTGTTGACCGCCGATGTCTGTGCGTATGTATGCGCTCTAAATCTGGTGGTGAAGGTTGAATATAGTATGTATGCATTTTGCAAAAGTGCAATTTAAAATGAGATAATAAATGTGGGGAG